TAATAATAATAATAATAATAATAATAATAATAATAATAATAATAATAATAATAATAATAATAATAATAATAATAATAATAATAATAATAATAATAATAATAATAATAATAATAATAATAATAATAATAATAATAATAATAATAATAATAATAATAATAATAATAATAATAATAATAATAATAATAATAATAATAATAATAATAATAATAATAATAATAATAATAATAATAATAATAATAATAATAATAATAATAATAATAATAATAATAATAATAATAATAATAATAATAATAATAATAATAATAATAATAATAATAATAATAATAATAATAATAATAATAATAATAATAATAATAATAATAATAATAATAATAATAATAATAATAATAATAATAATAATAATAATAATAATAATAATAATAATAATAATAATAATAATAATAATAATAATAATAATAATAATAATAATAATAATAATAATAATAATAATAATAATAATAATAATAATAATAATAATAATAATAATAATAATAATAATAATAATAATAATAATAATAATAATAATAATAATAATAATAATAATAATAATAATAATAATAATAATAATAATAATAATAATAATAATATTATTATTATTATTATTATTATTATTATTATTATTTTTATATTATTATTATTATAGTAAGGAAAATTAGATGGTGTCTCTTTAAATTATAAGGTACAGGTACCCAGTTTTTTATACCCGATGAAATTAGAGCGTGATTAGTGCGCGTAAAATATATCCTACAACCGGTTATGTTGTACCGTACAGCCGACCTTTTTTACGCTTCTGCGCTTCTTGGCTTTGCACCAGGCTTCTCCGATCTTGCTTCATAGAGGACTTCGCACCTGCTTTTTCAATCTCGCTTGGCTTCTTCGATCTGGTTCTACACCAGGTAGACTGCTCTGCATCGCCGCTCTCTTCTCCTCCAGCACAAGCACCCTCCTGCTGCGCAATAAACATCGGCTCCTGGGAATCTTCTTTGTGTGTCGGTGCTGCGAGAAGAAGTACGGAAACGACAAATTGAGCGATTATTTAGGAGATTGAGATTCATACTTCTTTGTTGACGAATCTCAAATGAGTTTATATTAAACTCAAATGAGTATATGCTTAAAAGGGATGAACATACGCAAATGAATATTGAGCATATTATAAATGAGTTTTATGTTAAACTCAAATGAGTATAAAGCCCAAAAGGAATGAGCATACACAAATGAGATTTTGAATTTTCGATACTCACTTGTAAGTTATGTATGCACATTTGGTACCTCATGCTCATTTTAAAATGTTGCACATTTCAAACGCATCATACTACATTAGATTCACATATTGAAATTAATTGGAATTGATTACAGACATAATTTAAGTCTTTTTATAAAAGAAAAAATAATAAAAAGTAAGCGAATTAGAAGATATGAAGCAGAAAACATTGATGTTCATTCTTAGACTCCTAATACTCAAAAGAACAGGCTTGATGCTCAACAAAATTGGGTTAATGCTCATTCAAGAGAAACCATGTTTTTCACCAAAATTACAAAAATGCCACTGGCTGTACGGCTAGCACCGTACAACCGGTTATACGGTATACACTTCCGATTAATGTGATGCCGCATCACCACATAGTCATATTTGTATAATATTTTATGTTATTTATATTTTAGTCCCTAGAAATATAATTGTAATTGTAAGTTAATACGGAGTAATTTTTAAAACTAAAAACAGCCTTTCAAATAAAAAACTAAAAAGCAGCGGAAAGAATAAAGAAAGTAGGGAAAACTATCAAATAAGCCCCCGTACTATACCGAAAAAGTCGATTAGACCCTCATACTTTACAAACACTCAATTACGTCCTCGAACTATTAAAAAACGTTCAATTAAGCCCTTTCGGTCGGTAACTAACCGATTTCCCGGTTAAATGTAACTCGTTTCCCGGTAGCCGCTGTTGTTGGGGTTCGAGCACATCGTCGCCGTCGTCGTCGTTTAACTGGGAAACCGGTTACTTACCGACCAAAAGGGCTTAATTGAACGTTTTTTAATAGTTCGAAGACTTAATTGAGTGTTTGTAAAGTACGAGAATCTAATCGATTTTTTCGGCATAGTACGAGGACTTATTTGATAGTTTTCCCAAGAAAGTAATACTCCCCAATCCCCACTATGCACGCCCCTGAAGTTTCACAAGAGGAATACTGATCTTGAATTCTTATTGAGAAAAAACCCGAGGATTGAGATGATCACGAAATTATTTGAGAACTGGTTTGCGCTTTGTTGTTGTTTACGTGGGATCAACTCTTGCAGTCTTGCCCCCTAAAAATTACATTTATGTCAAAAAAAAAAAAAAAAAAAAAAAAAAAAAAAAAAAAAAACTTTGAGTACTCCTCTTCAATCTTCATTTAGAATTAACAACAAAAAGTAGGAAACAAACGTGTACACGAAGCGCGTGTCGAACCAGATAATACAGTTCGGGATGAGTTAAGATTAGATTCTAATTTTAGAAAACATCAACGGAGTGGATCTTAAAATTTTGAGAAACCAAATGAGTCAAAAAAATATGTACCCAGACCTACCCGCTCTAAAATATTATTTTAATAAATTCTATTATATTTAACACACGAAAACTCTTCACGTTCTTGTATCTCAAAAAAATAACTTTCAATTGAAGTAACATGTGAATCTATTAAAAAAAAGTTTCAAAGTCCATATAAACCCCTAAATTATTATCCCCAATTATATATTCCAAATGCATCAATTTCCTTTATTTTATTTTTTTGTAAACAAAGATTATCTTAATGAAGTGTGACATATTCATTTAATTATTTTAATTTTATTTACATTTTGAGATTTATTAAGCTTTAAATTGTTCTTTTAGACATATTTCAGTGGTTCTGGTTCGGTCCCTAGAACGAACTAGTTCAGGTCTCAACCAATCCATGATCGTGAACCAGACTCACACCTACTTCAACAGTTCAAGTTATGATTCTACTTCAGTGGTATCAGTTTTGAGCGGTTCTAGTCTTCCGGACATCGATCCAAACCCGAAAATCCAAGCAACTGGTCGGGTTCTTTACCCCCGCTTGGGTTCCAATCTATTCTGATTCCAAAATCACTCTAACCTCTGGATGAACAAATCCATGTAGAGCTAATAGATTTTATTAATTGGAACTAAACACAAATGTTGACATTGCTCCCTCCGTCTCGAAAAATACTTCCCGATTTGACTTGGATCACAATTTAAAAAAGTGAGAATAAAGTGAAAATGTATGATTGTGGTTGAGTAAGAAAAATGTAAATGAATAGTAGTCACACAAACTTCTCCCAAAAGGGAAATGAGAACATGACGCCTGCCTGGGCTGCACCCCTGCACCCAGTTGTTTCCCCATCTTCTCTTCCATCAACACCCCCCCCCCCAACTTTTTTTCCCTTAAATGGAGTTTAATTTTAATGTTTGTGACGGTGGTCCCATGCGATTCTTAGCATATGCTTCTGTCCGGCGACAATCGTTTCATCTCCTTCTCTGCCATCGTTTTGTCGTCCCTGAAATACTATGTGGCTATCTAAGAACCGTGAAAGACAGATATATACGGACTGCTTTCTTCCGATTTTTGCTTTTCCACTTTCGAGTTTTGTACTCTAGTTTATTATGAGAAGGGCAAAATAGTAAAGTCATTATCAATTTATAAGTTTTTCTTAATTTTTTTACTTGTCAAAGTTTGCACCTCAATTTGGGACAGAGGGAGTATCAACTATCTTCTTTGAACTAAGAATAATACGTACTTTAGAATAACTTTTAATAATACCAATTATCTGAATGTAGAACAAAAATAATAGAGTCACTTTTCTACAAGAAATCCAATCATTTATGATATCAACAACTAATATTAAACCATCCATTAAATGATAGTATTTGTAAATATGATCACTTATTTGATATTTTGATGTTAGTTTTTTATGAGTCAGATGGCTAAATGTTTAGTGAAATTTTGCTTTATATCACTTTTGATATATATTTTAATAGTTGGTATTATTAATGGTTATTTCTAAAGTACATACTTCCTCCGTTCTCTTTTAATTACAACAGTCAACATTTCACGTTTGCCAACGCACAAGTTTGACCATTAATATCTTCCATTTCTTATTAATAAAAAAATTTAAAAATTCATATTTTGAAAATTTAGAATGAGAAGAATTTAACAATATTTTTTAAAAATTTAATTTATAACAAATTAATAAATAAAATATAGTCAAAGTGGAATATGTGAATTGTGAATACTGAATAGTGCAAAAAGTCCAATGTCCCAATTAGTGCTGGACTCGGGCCGGGCGGCCCGAACCGGAGCCGGCCCGGCCCGGTTACTGTGTGAACCGGCCCGGCCCGGTGGCCCGGTCCACCGGCGGTTCGGGTCGAACCGGCCCGGTGGATACCGGTTCCGGGCCCGGGCCCTCTATTTGGTGAACCGGCCCGGCCGGTTCGGGCCCGGTCCGGGCCGGAATATTTTTTTTTTTAATTTTTTTTTGAAATTTTTTTAATTTGTGGGTTGGATTAGGTATTTTGGGCCATTTGAGGTGGTTTGGGGTTGACGGGGAGGGGTAGGGGGTTAAATAAGAGAAGCCAAAAAATCAAAAAAAAAAATGGGGCGGGTGAACCGGCCCGGTCTGGCCCGGAACCGGCCCGGAACCGGTCACCTGCCGGTTCGGGCCCGGGCCCTACTTTTGGTGAACCGAGGCCCGGCCGGTTCAAGGCCCGAACCGGACCCGGCCCGAACCGAGTCCAACCCTAGTCCCAATATAAAGAACTCATTTGCCTTTTCAAACATTTTTAGGAGGAACATTGTTTGGCACTGTTTTGCCCTGTTTTATTTGCCAAAAAGGGAAATGTGCCTTTTATATTGGGATGGCCCAAAAAGAAAAATGTGTCAGAGGGAGTATTATTTACAGTTATTTTTCCAAAATAGAATGGCAATATGGCCTCATTTACAAGATCTTCAATTAACATAGAATGTATATTAACAAATGACTTAAAAACAGATTCTTCGCGTTTATACAGCTGACCACAAATAGTTTGAGATCATGGATTAATTGTTGCTACTTGCTACATGGCATTAATGCAGTGCAAGTGTGCAACCCTCAAAGGCTCAAATATCAGATCCCTTCAAGCAAAGAGCAGTTTTGTAGTGATTCGCAGAAATGATATTCCAACATAATAATAAATTACTACAATCGCCAAAGAAAAACATAACTTGAAAAGGGAAGAAAACTTTGATACCCATCCCTCATCCGATCCTCCCAAGTCCCACCCCAAATAAATGCCAAAATTGACGGCCAGAGTACATACAGGATGGGAAAAGCACACAAAAAATAGATAAAAAAAACTAGAAACTAAGTTTAATCATATTCTTCAGACTACGTTAATCCCAAACCGCAAAAAAACGTCCGTCATCGATACCTGCCGCCACAGATGCCTGCTGCCAACACTAATGCCGATACCTGCTACTCCGGTCTCTGTTGTCACGTGCATAATCTCTGTCACGATGATCATAGTCATAGGACCGCTCTCGATCTCTCTCTCTTCCTCCCCGATCTCTATCACGGCTTCTGCTCCTACGCCTCTCCCTCTCATCTCTATCCCCCCTTCCTCTCTCTCGGCTTCTTTCCTTTCTGTCTCGGTCAGACATCCCTGCCCCCATTCATTTTATCTCATCAGTGGCTTGCCAAGCCAAAGAACGTTTAACCAATATACGCACACTAATCAAGAATAAAAATACGGAAATTTGGCATTTGCATCATGTTACCCCAGCATTTGCCTTACAATGTTGTGTCTTATTTTTTTCTTCTTCGAGCCCAAAGCACCCAGAAGTGGGATGCAACGTCAAGTGTGAAGTATGGGGTGCAAAATCAATGAAAATAAAAACATAGGATACAAATTAAATATTGGGGTGGTTAGCATGGGGTGCAATTGTGCAAATACCAAATATCCCGAAAAGACAAGCCCAGATACGCTAATAGTAGTGTACTACCTAATTCCTCCACCTCCCATCCAGCACGCCCAACACCAGGGATGTTCTGGACAGTTTCAGGTAGCTGTGCTTTTGCACGGAACTTTTTCTTAAGGTTTCCAAACTCATCATACATTTCTCCATCATCCTGAGATATTTAAAGATGACAGCACGTGTCGTGAAACCGATGTAATATACAAAACTTCACATGCACAAATTTACTTACTTCCTCAGCCTCTCGTCGACGTCTCTTAGTTTCTTCCAACTCTTCTTCATCGAGTTCTTTATATCCTCCACCACGCCCCCCTCTGCAAAGTATATATCCAAACTAATTTCAGTTACGTGTGAAAAAATAATAAGTTATTGCCATGTAAAAAATCACGAGTGATTTACATGTTTTGAAATATAATGTTGGCGACTATATTTTCTTAATCTCTGTTTAAAAACAATATATGGAGTTAATGCTATATTTGGACTTTTGCAAAGCCAGACCACCAAGTTTGAACAAATCAATGACATCTGCATTATATGAATAGACAAAAATCATTTGTTACCAATGCCAAAATACCTACCATCAAACCCATACAAGGTTCCAGGTCTATTTCTCTTTTAACGCAACTCTTCTATTTTGCAGAACCTAGTAGTCTGTTTTAATCTCTTCCTAAATTTAAAAGTGAAATTGAGTCATTCTTTTCATACTCAAAGGGCATAAAAGTTAAACTAAAAATCACACTCAAGACTTTGAGTACCAAAAACAGAAACTGTGATGACAATCCACTAAAAATCACTATGCATTAACCATTCAGTACCTCACACCGCCCTCATTGTGACCAGGCTTGTTAGTGTTGCAGATATTACATTTCATGCGCTTAGCCCAATTGATGTTGCCACACCTATATCCCAGCAATAAAACATTTGGTTAAAAGAAAAGAGACTAATATAGAAGTTCTAAACATGAGGACCAGATCATATTTAAAATATAGATAACGGAATGTTTTTTTTTCATTGACTTCGTAACGTAGAATAACCGAGTAGGTTGTAAAATCTAATTATTGGAGTGCGAATGGGGTAGAACTATAAAATTTCATTTGACTTTGCACCTCATGTTTACCTCAATCTTTGTTTATAGCTTTGAAAAAGAAATTACCATGTTGAAAACCGTTCGATAGATTTAGTAGTATACAGATCTAACATTCTTATTTAGAAGGGTTGGTTGCTAAAATCACAAAATTTAGGTGCAACTGCAAATTTAACAAAAAAAAAAATAGTTTTAGCAATGCCATTCACAACCATTTCAATTGGCAAACCGATACAACGGTTACATATCTCAAAGCGGTGCAGATGTGGGACAATTGATTAGCTTGTCCATTCCATGTGGACATGCATTGATGACAACTGACAAGTGGAAGGGAAAGTCTGTGGAATGAAAACTTCAATGTGGCCTCTCTGTCTTGCAAATTCATTTTGCATCCTGTTTAGCAACATGGAGGCGGCAGATGCTATTTTCAAGCTGCCAAAAAATGATGGGAGATGGACAGATGGTGGCGGAGATATGCAGAAGAAGTGAAAGTAGAGTTCGGGAAATCTTCTCTGAGTTCTATCGGCAAGAAAATGAAGTTGAATTACATTTTTATTTAAAAAAAATGCATCTTTTCATGTACTTTAGGCAAAAAAAAACGCCGCTACCTGTTCATGACTAAGAGGGGAAAAGGACTGTGGGTCCCATTAAAATAATAACACCTATTTTGTTTGATGAGTTTTAACTTTTCTATTTGTGCTCCGATTGTTATAAAAAATATATCAAAATTTATAATTTTTTATTATCTTTCAGACTAATTCTGATATAACACCTAGTTTTTTTATTCTTATATATGCAATGTTAGTGTCATATGAAAGATAATAAATAATTACGAATTCTGATATATTTTTGTAAAATTCAGACTATAAATAAACTAAAATTATACTCCCTCCGTCCTGCTATGATTGTCCCATTTTACCATTTCGGTCCGTCCCACTAAGATTGTCTCATACCTTATTTGGTAAAGTTTGTGTGGTTCTAAATCATTCCTACTTTATTCTTACTTTATCAATTCAATATCAACCACATAAACCCATTTTTATTAATAACCGTGCCACCTTCTCTTGTCCCAAACATAGGGGGACGGAGGTAGTAACACTTTAAAAAATAGAAGTTGTTAAATTACTTTTCATTTTTATATATGCAATATTGGTGTCAAATGAAAGATAATAAAAAAATATAAATTTTGATATATTTTTTATAACAATCGGAGCACAAATAAAAAAGTTATAACACATTAAACAAAAAAATGTTTTTATTTTAATGGGAACCACAGTCCTTTTCTCCTCCTAGTCATGGCCAGGTGGCGGCGTTTTTTGTTTGCTTAAAGCCGCCATCCCAAATGGCGGTTCTCTTAACTGCAATTTATTCTAGCAGTATTTTGGGAATTACTTTTAACCCTACCCTGATTTGGTAAATATTTTTTTTATTTTGCATTATTTTGAGAAAAAAGTCCAAAGTGGGATCATTGAATTAACCATTAGGCAACACTGCCAGTATTTTTTTGAGATTTGAAAGAGCATAACACTGTAACAGGAAAACACAAGGTGGTACAAATCATAGATAATTTGTGGATGTATACTTGCCACTGTGATTGCATACCAAAACAAGGACCACTGGGCAGATAGTGGAAACCAAATTCCAGTAGTTTTTTCTGAGATTTGAAAGAGAAGAACTTTCTTACATGGGACAAGACCAATCATTTGGACCAAAGAGGCCGGGAGGACCACCAACTGCTCGACCAGGGGCACCTGAGTCATTGTTGCCACGGCCCCTACCTCGCCCACCAGCCCCAGCACAACCACCAGAGACACCAACCGGTCGAGCACTTCCACAACGGTTGCAAACACCGCGAAACGCAAAGTTCACATTAGAGCAACTGTACAAATACAAAATTATAGCAGAACCATTAGTACAAGAATATATTCAGAATTTTGGGTGCCAAAAGATAAACACAAAAAGGGATAGAGAATGGTAGGTTTAATTACATTTAACTCGCCTATGATTTGGTCATATTACAAAATAGTCCCTGAAGTATTTGATAATTACAAATAGACCTTTTAGCAGTCAAATTTGACATATGTGATGCCCTAACAGTAATCAAGTGTTTTGGACCGAATTCTGTATTTTTAATGCATCTTATCAACTAAAATGTTCAAGGTTTCTTTCAATAGACTATTTAGGATAAATGCTAACAGTAATTTAGTATGAAAACATGTGTTTCCTACTAATATCACACTATTCTATCTTCTATTGGTGTCCTTTGCCAGATATTTGACTCGTCAAGGGGTGTAATTTGTAATTTTCAAAAACGGAAAAACCTCAGGGATTATTTGAGAATTTTCAAAAACCTAGGAGAGTTCATGTAATTAACTGAATAAAGAAAAGCAAGAAAGAGTTTCTCACCAATAACTGCATCACAGACCTTGTATTTGGACACATCCAGTCCCCTTCTTGTTGCCATGATGAATCACCCCCCCTGCCTCTACCATGTCCACCCCCTCCATTTATATCCTTGGAACCTTCATCCATGCCAGCAAACCCACCACTTTTTTCCAGGTTCGTGTCTCCAACCTGACTAGCTGGGTTATATGAGAGGTCATCCTTGCTTTTCGATTCTGCAATAAAGACTTCAATAATGGACCCATGAAACTCCTTGTTGTTGAACCAATCAACAGCAGCCAATGCAGCATGTGGGTCCTCATATGTGACAGTTGCATCACCCTTGGGCTCATTTGTTGCTTTGTCACGGTACAACCATATTTTAGGCCGGCCAGTTCTTTTATCCTTCTATAGCATATAAAAGCAAAGAAAACAAATCAGAACTCAAAACAGGAAAAGAAAAACAAAAGCAAAAAAAACACATGAACCTGCTCATACATAAAGAAAAACAAATTATATGTTTGGTAAAGCAGAGTTTGCCTTATCCGCTATGGCTTTTACAAACAATAACTTATTTGAATGCATAAACTGAATGATGGATTTAATAAAATGGTGCACATGTTGCTTTTGCTGAAATGGTTGAAATAGAGATATGGCAATTGGCACCTCTGCCCTCATTATATAGATATCATTTCATTACGTCTATTAAAAATGCATCTTAAATATATTTTAGATAATCATCCATTCCAAGTTTTCAAAAACATAATAACCACACTCAGCCCATTCCATCATTTTATCCAAATTTACTCCTTCCCAAACAGGCTCAAAACTAATTGACAAAAGGAGAAGTATGTGGCTAGAATAGTGTGGAAGAAAAAATCAAAGAGTTAAAAAAAAATAAAGCTCTAGGGAAGTAACATCAAGCAATACCTGATTGCAACTCATACCTTTAGCACTCCAATTGTGCCAAAATGCTCGGCTAACATATCTTCATCTGTTCCAAAGGGTAAATTACAAACATATACAGACCCATTTGTTGGAACTCCCTTTGATGAGTAGTTTTCCATTGGATCTCAACTCTGATGAAAATTAAGAAAAATGAAGGAAGTAAATGTACTGCAAAAAAACAACAATTTGACTAACACTATAACTGTCTAAAAGACAGATTTAATGCAAAACAGAGCTAAAGTTGCTACTGTTAGTGATAGTAGCAGTCCAGATGAGTAAAGAATTAAGCACTAATGTGCAACACAGCAGGTGAAAAGGACAGAAGATATCTAACAGTAAATAACACTAGCAGAAATTCCATTAGCCAAAAATCACAAGAAAACAGCCCCCTCTCATCCCAGACCATTATTTTTGAACATATGGAGCATGTTATAATTGATAGAGAAATTGAATATTCCATTCAACTAAAAGATAGCTATATATACAGCCCATATCACCTTAATTGAAGAAAGGGAATCAAATCAAATCAAATTATCCCTTAAATCAAGCTATTCTATCCAGTGTTGTCCATGGCAGATTATGGAGGAAAGCCAAAAACACCATATAAATACTCCGGATTGCATGTGGCTAACTATGTAATATAATCACCAAGCACTCATTGATTACTCGCTACTCAGGGTACGGCCTTGCCGATTAGTACTCTGACTTGCACTGTTCCATTTTTCGAGTAACTTCCAGAGCACTCGGCAATTTTGACTACTCATTTACAAGATTGGCTCGCCAGTTAATAGGCAGCCAGATAGATTTTTTTTGGTTAGATCTGAAAAGCTAAGACTAAATTGGGATATTATAGAATTTATGAATAAGTAGTGGGTATTTTAAAAATTGAAAAAATGAGATTACAACTTTACAAGGTCAGTTTATGTTTGAGGACATGGAGGATGATGAAGAAAATGACAACCTTGAACTTAATGAAAATTACTTTCACACAAAAGTTTAAAATTAAGTATTATTAGCAATTGATTTTCATGGAAGTTAGAATGTTTATGATTGTTGGGATTTGTTGCTACTTTATTATTAGGATTATTATTTTTTATACTATTCACATAATCACAGTTAAGAGTTATAAGACTAATATATTACTACAGTTTTGGCCTTTTGGGGCATTCATGTTTTTAATTTTAATTAATAAAAGTTCGAGTAATCACCTAGTAATCCGAGTAATCCCGCCTACTTGCTACTCGGCCCTTGAACAAATTGCCACCAGGTAGCGATTTAACTACTCAGGCAGCAAATAGCGGAAAATAAATGACATGTATACTAGTTATATGAAACAGTTATATTTATAATTTGTACTCCGTATATATTACTACGTATATCATACTTGCTGTGAGCAGTAAAGTAATAGAGGAGCATCAACTAACACTGTCAAAGATAGTACTGAAAATAAAGTCATAATACTATAATACTAAATAGTAAATACCACAATTTAAAGAAGTAGGCAGTATTTGATTAGAGAGTCCAAATATTTGAACAAATGTAAAAATGAATTAAAGAGTAAAGAATCTATTTGTTTGTATATATTAAAAAATGGTGAAGTAAGATATTTGGGCGAAAGCATGAAAAGGATTTTTCCTGAACAGGATTAGTATTGATTAAAAAGAAAAAACATTGTCCGGATTAAGCATTTTTAAAAATACAATAATGAGAAATAATCATACAGCGAAAAACTATATATATATGGTATGTTTTCATGGTCTTTGTTAGAAGTATTATTATATATATACGCACACCTATTGTAATAAATATATACCCTCAGCTGATATAGTCAGGTTGTTAGATCTGATAGTAAGTTTGTTAGAGTCGGTTATATCAGCTGTAGTATATATACATGTACCGATTCATCTTAATTAATATGAGAGAAATTCTTCCTCCTTTCTATTTCTGCTTACTTTCTAATAGTCTTTGTTGAGAGCTGAGTCTGAAAGTAGTTAACAGAGCCGGCTCAACTTGGGCAGTAAAATAAGATATGTGTACATTTACGAAGTGTTTGTGTTCGAGAAGAGTACAATGAGTCCAAAATTGGTCTTATATGATGAAGAGGCCAGTTTTTTTAAGTACAGATTGTGTTAACTTTGAAATTTTTAAGTTTTGATAGTCTCAAGTAAAGAAACAACCAAATGTGGTGCTTTTTTTAGACCTCTTCAGCTCAGGTTATACGATGAAACTAGGAAGAGTACTACAATCACTAGCAAGAAAGAATGGAGCGACTGATGAAAAAAGGCTAAACTTTTTTACTTAAATACTTGGCCTTATATATTAGCACTACCGAACAATTATTTAGTAATTAGTTTTATTCTCTTAGTTCAATTATTGTACCGTGACCACTTGATAATGATTGTATGAATTGACATGCATGTTTTATTTTTCAATTGAGCTTTCCAGAAAACTACATGTTCATGTCATTTGGCTATTCTAAACACTTATAAAGGTTAATTTGAGAATCCAGTTACGTTGTGTATTTATGTTAACCAAATACTGAGCCACCATAGGAGTGTATGTCAGCAAACAAGGTACTTCAGACATTGGCTTAATGTTTAGGCTTCTAGCGCGTCATTATTATGGAATACGTAACAAAGAAATCAATATGAAAATTCCTTACTTATAAGTTTAGAATTACGCTTTTACTTGAGATTAGTGAGCAATGTCTTAGAGATACGGGTATGATATAGTCATTGAAATTGACAGTGTGAATATGGATATACTATCTATTTATCTGGGAAGAGATTATCCTTATACATTGTGGATTACATACTTGCGTGTGTCCATCTCGTAAATCTCGACTTATTGTTTTTAAATCTTAAGGTGTTGTTAAGATCGCGGGTTGACTGGATTAGGTGGGATCGAAAATATAGATCGCCGAATCGACGAGTCAGATCGTAAAACCGCAGGATCGTCGATTTGCGTCGATCTGTGAATAGGACAGCCGTGGAGAAAAACAGCGCTCAGGGTCCGACGGAAAGCTAGTGTGTACTGTGAAAGCATATCGATAAGGTTAGAAGCTGAAGCATAGAAAAGAGATACATACCTGAACGGATTTGGAAGTGCGGTCAATGGTCCGTCAGGTCCGACGGAAAGCTTGTGTGTAAGGAAGTTCTGGGAGGCTTCAATGTCCGCAGCCTACGTGAAGTAATTGTAAAAAAAAACAGTCAGAGACTCAGATATGCTTGTATCCAAAGTCCAAACATACAAGTAACCGGCCCAATTCAAGTAATATGGGGTACTACCTCCCACCCAGTAACGTTAAAATTGAGGAGTTTATGTAGTTGATATTGAATTGATAAAGTTAGAATAATTTAAAAAAACACAAACTTTACTAAATTTGGTATGATATAATCTTAGTGGGATTGATCGAAAAGAAAAGCTGAGACAATTTAACGGGATGGAAGGAGTAATAAGCTTGGAACGTTTTTTATTGGACCAGTTTAAGTCCCAGATCAGACCAATTTAAATCATATCATACAAGATCATATTAGAAAAATTTAGTTCAATAAAATACATCCTAACAAAGATACAGTGTGCTGATCCTATGTATACTTGGACCTGAGCTGAACGTTACATAAAGGCCCTTATCTATAGTACGGAGTAGTATATTTTGTTGTATACTCTGTATTTTTTGAATTAAAAGAATTTGTATTACAAAAATAACTAACTAAATGAACATCTTATAATATACTAAAACGAAATTAAATATAAGTTTGAAAAAATGGTCAAATAAGTTCTTCTACTATTTCCAATCCGTCACTCAGTCTCTATTCTAAGAAAAATTTCATATAAGTACACTTGCTTTAAAAATTGATAAATTTGACCATTTAAATGGTTTTTGACTTGTAATAGCAAGTTTTTAGTATTTAGAAACTCTAAAAAAATGTTAGAATTTGAAAAATATACACAAAAATTGTGAAATTTAGAAGAAATAACTCGAAACGCATTTACCGGAAGATTTGATCAACATGACTTTTTCCTTGGCCTCAAAATTCATCTTGGGTAGATGAATTTTGATAGTGATGGTCCCAAATGAGGTAAAAGTCTAGAGGGGGTGAATAGACTTTTAAATCTTTTTCATTTATCAACTATTTCCCCTCTAACAGAGTGAGTTTCAATATCTTTTGAGAGATATTGAAACATTCAGCGGAAGTCTTGACCTCAAGAGTGTGACACTTTATAGTAACAAAGGTGTGACCCTTTAGTTGGATGAGAGATTGTTTAAACATAGTACATATGTGTTAGCCAAAATCAGCTTTCTCAAGAGCAGGCTGCCGAACTTTGAGGAGCAGACTGCCAAACTTCTGGGAGAAGGCTATTGAACCTCTTAGGAGCAGGCTGCCGAATGAGGTTACTGCATCAATGTTTGGGACACAGAAAAGAACTATGACCTAGGACATTGCTTGACTTTTCATAACAAACTTAACACATAGCTGTGAAGGAATTAGACCTATATAAACATAGATCTCTTTGAGTAATAAGGACTAAGTAACAAGGAGTTTGACATACAGTAAACTAGGTAGTTTACTGGTCAGTGTTTTTGAGAAATTAAAGTTGTTTGTCTTGAAGAATTGAGAAGGTGAGTGAGAACTGTAGTGTGACACAAGATATATCCTGATTAAGATGTGGTGTAAACCTCCTACATCCAGTCTCAACCTATTTCAGATGGATTTCTACTAAATGAATATACCCATTACATTTAGTGCCCAATGTACAAAGTTCTTGTGCATAAATTGTATTGACACTACAGAGGGTACTAGTTGTGAACAAATATTGTTAGTATAAAATATTGTTCCAAACTTCACTACGTATTTTAGAATTTTTCGAAAAAGTGTTAACATGTGTTGCAATTTTTTTTTTAATTTTTTTGCACTCTTTGCACAATAAAGTTACATATTTTGTATGGATAATTAGTCAAAGATTAAAAAATAGTGAAATTAATTGTATTAAGGGTAAATAAAATGAATGTTATCTCAAAAAAATGTAACAATGTGTTCAAAATTTCACAACAAGACTAAAATTAATATTTATGAATTTGAAGTGCTTCATTTAAAAAAGGAAAAATAATAATTTTGCAATTTAAAATTAAAGAGATAATATTTTAACATAATACTAAATCTTTATTTTTTTTTTTAAATTTATTATCTATTTTTGTATTTTGTGAAATTTATTTTATCTATTTAAAATCAATAAAGGTAAATTTGCTCCTTTATAAAACATGAGAAGTATTTATGCACCTTTTAAAAGTTCAGGGGTATATATGCATGTCAACATATACTTCAGGGGTGTATCTGTTTCGAAAAATAAAACATGAGTATATATGTTCTCACACAAATATTATAGGGTTTGTACCTTTTCTGCTTTGTGATATGCACAAAATTTTGAGAAAATAATTTTTATGTGTCGTGCACTTTACACGAATGTGTATGCAAATGGTGTGTACAACAAACAGCTCCGTTGTCAAAAAATTACTCCATTTTATACTCACCCCTATTGAGGAGTGCATGTACCGTACAGCCGGTTGTACAATGAGCACTTTACTGTCAGTGGCATTTTTGTAATTTAAATGCAATTCGCGTCTTCTGCTAAATGAGCATTGATGCAGTTTCAGTGAGCATTAGACATATTCCATTGGGTATTAGAAGCCTAATAATGAGCATCGTGGTTTCTGATTCATATTTTTTAGTTCTCTTTCTTTTTCTTATTTTTTCTTTTATAAAAGTTATAAAGTTATATCTATAATCAACTTCTATATACTTCAATATGCGAATTTAATGTAATATAATACTCTTGAAATATGCATTGGTATGACATTTTTATATTGAGCATAATATCACTATCAAACAAGCACACTCAACTTAGGGTCTGTTTGCAACAGTTTCTGCTTTTAAAAAAGTGTTTTTTAATGAAATGGGGAGAAGTGATTAAATAAAAGTTGATAGTGTTTGAGAAAAAAGTGATTTTGAAAAGTAAAAGTGGGTAGTGTTTGGTAAAATAAGTGTTTTTTGTGTAATAGGAAAAGTAAAAGCATTTTTGACGCGGAAGCCGAGAAAAATAAAAGTTGTAGTGTTTGGGAAAATAAGTGCTTTTTTAAAGCCAAAAGCTGAGAAGTGCTTTTTTAAAAAGAGTTGCAAACCAACCCTTACAAAATGCGCATTGGTATGAAAATCGTAAGGTTTGTTAGTTAATAATCACGACATTTTCATTGAGCATCAAATCTCCTATATTTAGATGAAAATAACAGTTTCTATCAAATGAGCATTAATAAACTTTTGATTAGCATCATGCCTATCCTGTTGAGTATTAGAAGTCTAAAATTGAGCATCACGCTATCTGCTTCACATCCTCTAATTCACTTTCTTTTTATAATTCTTTTTCTTTTATAAAAACTTATTAAATTATATCTATAATCAATTCCTTTGATGTTCAATATGTGAATCTAATGTAATACGATACTTTTGAAAGCATTAATATGACACTAGCAGGGGCGGACCGTAGTAGAGACCCGGGGGCAGTCGCCCCTCCAACAATTTTTTTTTAGTGTATATATATACCAAAAAATAATTTTCGTCCTCCCAAATTTTTTTTTAAGTTACCGCCCTCCCAAGATAAACTTACTGGATCCGCCCCTGGACACTAGTATTATACCCGTGCGATGCATGGGATAAATTTTTTATACTTTATCTAAGATGTTACTCTTGATGTTACTCACATTAAAAGAAATTGAAGCACGTATCAAGTACTCCATATAATATATGATGATGAAAATGAAATGTATACAAATTTTTAGAGTACGTACATTTATGTAATTAAGTAGAGAGAGAAATAATATGAACAACTTACTTTCTTAAATAGATTATTTGAGATGATTGGTCAGATAAAAAATAGTCTCCAAATGGATTAAGTATTAAGAGAAACAGTCAACATAGATTGTTCTATTATTACAAAACTCATCATATCCTCTCAACTAATTATCTGCCCAATTGTGGAGTCCCTCAAAGATAAACGGTCATCTTTTTTTTATTTATATTTCAAATTCAATCACTTAAAATGAAAAATAAGTCAAACAACTACAGTTTTGCAATTAAAAGTGCAAGTACTCAAAGTTCTAAAATAATGAAGATAGAAAACAATATTTTAAAAGTTCTAATACATATTTCAGTTGGAGCTATTAATTTCCAGGGATAATTAGAATTAGGGATAGGGGAAGGGTGGATTAGGAATATGCCCATTAGTCGTGTACCACATAAAAACAAGGCAAAAATTATTTTTAGCTTTTCATTTTTTAATGAATTTTATTATGTAAATTTTGAGTGTTTTTTTTTTACTTTTTTGGAAGACTTTTTTTAAGTTGATATGTGTATCCGTCAGGATACGGGTATCCGAAACTTTAAAATAATTACCCAAAAAAATGAAAACTTTTAAAAATTGCAGATACGGCCTGGGAACGTACGGTATGGGTATCCTAGAGTATCGGATACGAGAACGTTTCCGATACGCCGATACGGCACCCTAATGAAGTATCCGTGCTTCATAGTCAAAAACTATACTCCCTCCGTCCCTTAAAATTTTGCCAACTTTCCTTTTAAGTAAAGAAATTGTAGTTCCAGTTAATTCTCTTTTCTCTGCACAAACCTCAACCACAAAGTTTTTTCTTTATTAATCCGTGCAGGTCAAACTTGAGAGACTTTGAAGGGACGAGGTAGTACAAAATTATTGAATGACCATTAATGTGGGTTGATGGATGCACTTCTGAATAAAGCAAAGGCATGGAATGTGTGGTGCCAGCGCCTCTACTATCTCATATGGAGTATACATACAGTATATTGTTTTGTAGGTGTATGTTCATGCACATGATCGATCGCTCGAGTAATTATAAGTATACGCGCGTATTCGTGCAGATCACTGCCCATTGAAGAACCAGAGCTTGGTGACCTTCCTCCATCTCCTTCGGCTAAATCCGTCTCTCACGTCCACATGTTGCATTCTCTCCACAAAATCTCACCAGCTAAACACCCGGCCATGAGTGGTGACAAGTGCATGGGACCTCAGAATGTTTGCATGTTTTTAAATTTTAAATGGAAATTCTATTCAAATTTCGTAATCGAAGAGAGCCGGTATTTCATATAAAATAAAATAAAAGTGTTCAATTCGTTGATGCAAGTGTGACGTACGTATTTACTTTAGGAATCAGTTTTCTGAAAATTAATTGTATTTGATGTGTTTAACCGATTTTAGTATGAATTAAAAGGTAATTATATACTCCGTATATTAGAAGAAGAATGTAAAGAATCCCGGCCCATGCAAATAAATTTCAAATTGAATTCGCCTGAAATTTCTTCAAGTAATTTATCCTAATTTAAGAGCATAAGTACAAGCATCAAGTGAATAAGAGAAGTTTCAAACACATACACGCCAACTGATACAGGTTCTATCAAATTTAGATAGATGAAAACTTATAACTCAAAATTGGAAAAACAATACTACGTGTTAAAATAGTTAATGTATAAAACACATCTGTAGGTCATCGATTTGTTAGAGATATATGGCAGCTGAAGGTTTTGCTCGATCTGGGCCTTTTGCATTTTAGCTCGATGCATGCCAAGGCATAGGATAGGAGAAATGAAATTTATAAACTAGGAATTGCATTTTTCATGACCAATGCAAAAGTTTGTCTAAACTTATTACCTTTAAAGTTATTTTTCCTTTCAAAAAACATAATTTTAAGTTAAAGTGTATGTACCAATTTGAGTCGCATTTTAATTTTTAAGTATTACAATGATTTTATATGGAACACCTCTGATGTAATTACATATGGAGATTTGGACTGGGAGCAAGAAATTTAAATGTCCTATGCAGTGGCGGAGCCAGGATTGACAGGTTACAGGGGCTTAAAGAATTTATATAGCAGGAACCAAAACTTAAATTTTCACTATATTTTTTAGTACTTATAAATATTTATACATATATATATACATCACAATTTTTTTCTTGCAGGGGTCGTGGTCACCGCCAGCCTCCCCTTGTCTCCACCCCTGGTCCTATGAAGACCGTCTTAATTAGATTTTTTGTTCAAATAAATTAAGAAGACCGTCTTATATATTAAACTGCTAAATATCAATTCTAACTAGATTTTATAAAAGTAATGTTGTGGATCTAAGGGAGTGTTTGCAGTTGCTTCAACTTTAAAAAAGTGATTTTTAAAGTGATTTTGAGAAAAGTGATTAATAGTAAAAGTTGGTAGTGTTTGAGAAAAAAGTGATTCTGGAAAAGTAAAAGTTGGTAGTGTTTGGTAAAATAAGTACTTTTTGTGTAATTGAAAAAGTGAGAAGCAGTTTAAAGCACCCTTCTACATGCTTCCAGCTTTTAGCTTTTAAGTGATTAATTTAAGCAAAAGCTGTCATTTAAAAACACTCTTTTCAACTTTTTTTAAGCCAAAAGCTGAAAAGCGCTTTTTTAAGCAAACCCAAACACTCATTTTGCTTATTTTAACACATACATCCGTAAATGAATAAAAAGTAATCACCCTGTGCATCGCACACATACCATACTACTAAAACATAAGAAAAAGAAAGTGAACTAGAAAATATGAAGTAGAAACCACTATGCTCATTATTAGGTTTTTAATACTCAATGGAATATGTTTAATGCTCACTGAAACTGCATTAATGCTCATTTAATAGAAGACGCGAATTGCATTTAAATTACAAAAATGACACCGGCTGCGAGTACAACTAGCTGTACGCCAAAAAATGGGTACACCAAATATATCTTGTGAAAAATTCAACAACTCGCACGGTCAGTCGTACTCCATGATTAATTAAAAAAAAAAAAAACCGTAGTAAAACAAGACAGACATATGTTTCCCGGCCGGCAGGGCTGAAAAGGATGACGGCCTGTGCAAGCTAGCCTTCACCGGCGAGTTCGGTTAGCAAGTTTGCCAACTCGGCGATGTCATCCCACAGTCAGCTGAAACCCTTAAGCCCTCAAGACTGGGAATCTCTCATCGACGACTACAACCACGGCGGCGCGCGGCTGCCTCGCTGGATTTCCACCCATTACACCGGCGTCCACCTCTTCGACCTCGCTCTCTCCTCTCTCATCCGCAAGGACCTCCCTCTCAACCTCAAGCTCCACCTCCTCATCTTCCTTGAAGAGCACTCCCCCACTCTTATACCCACAACCACCGCATCCGACGCCTTGACTCGTCTCAATGACGCTCTGTGCTCCGTCGTTCAATCCCCAAACGACGGCGTTTCGATCACTTTCCCCCTCAAAGAACAGTTCCTTATCTCCGCCACATCCATCTTTATCACGTCCAATGCCAACGGGAACAGCAGATCACATACTATCACTCCTGCTCTCGTCCCTCAATTCGAATACCTAATCGAGCTTCTGTTGACGATAATCAACAGACCTAATCACAGTGTGGACCGCCAAACCCGCTTCTTAGCCTGCGATTGCCTGCGCGAGCTAGAAATCTCCTTCCCCTGTTTACTGTCGGACGTTGTATCGCAACTTTGGATTTTATCCCAGAGCGAGAGAACTCACGCCGGTCAGAGCTACGCTCTGTTACTAGCCACCACGGTCTCCAACATTGTTACGGTAAAACCTAATGCTTCATTCACTAATGCTTCTATGCCCTTGGTCCCTTTCAATGTTCCTTCTTTTCCAATTGAGCATGCGGATAATGATGATAAGCATTCCATAGAGAAGCAGATATCTGAGTCGAGTATCAAAAGCCTTAGGAGAGTAGTTGCATTTCTGCTCGAATGGCCTCATAACTTGACTCCATGGGGGCTATTTGAGTTTATGGACAAGATACTGCCTGTTGCTGCAGCTTTGGATTTACAGGCGTCCTTGTTGAAGGTGCAATTCTCAGGACTGCTTTCTACATACGATCCTATGCTTTGGCATGCATTTTTAAGGATGTGTGTGGGGTCTATGGACTCGTTTCAAGGGCTGGAGTTGGAAATTGCGCATAGGCTCGTGCTGCTGTCAAAGGAGTCACAACATCATTTGGTTTGGCGGTTGTTGGTGCTTCACTGGTTGTTGGGTTTCATTGGGATATTGATCAAGAGAGACGAGGGTAAAAGGGAAAATGTTCTGGAGATGAGTTCGAGCTTTTATCCATCCGTTTTTGAGCCACTTTCTTTGAAAGTCTTGAAACTTGACTTGCTTGCTTACTGTTCTGTTTTGGCTGATAATAAAGGGAATGGACTAATGAGCACAAAAGTGTCAGTGGAGAAACTCTTTGATGATGCCCTTGTTTGTGTATCTTCCTTCAAATGGTTGCCTCCCTGGAGCACAGAAACAGCAGTGGCATTTCGTGTCATTCATAAATTTCTGGTTGGCTCATCATCTCACTCCGTAGCCGATTCTGTTTCCAACAAAACTCTCTTCGAGTCTGCCAACTTTCACACTGTGCAGGTAGACTCCTTTTTATGGGACTCATTGCTTCATATTTATTATTTTATTTACTACCTCTAGCCGAAAAAGAAGATTCAGTGTAAGGCACAACTTGAAATTTTTGCAAATTATGAATCATCACCTTTCCCCCTAAAAGTAATAGCTGGCTTTATAACTTGACTGTTTTTTGTGATAAAAAGAGGTTCTTGGAACAAGACTCTTTTTTGGGGCAGGAGGGGTATTTTTTTGGTGAAAGAAAAATATCCATTATCCACAGAGGGATAGAACATAGAGTTATACACACAATATCCTGCTATTATTTTAAACCCGTAGGGTGGCATGTCCCTATTTTGTTTCACCATAAAGGAGATGGAATAATTGTACAGAAGTAGGTTCATCCATAGCAACTTTGAATTGATCCACAAACCCAAGGGATGCAATTTGTGGAGTTGTTTGCATTGGTGTTATGTATAGGCTGTGGGATATAATTATATCAAATCTGATTACGGAGTGATTCTTAAAAAAATGTTAAGCAGCGTATTATGCATTTGATGGCTATACTGTAACATAGCATGCACTCCATATTATATTTGCAAAAGGTTTTAGCAGACATCCTGTTTCTCCAAGCACTCAAGAACATATGCTTTTCTCTTTCATGAAGTCTGGTTTTCTAAGTTAGATAAGCTATTGCACACCATGTTCCTTCAGTTCTTCTTGCAACAAGATATTGCCTTTTTACTTTAATCTAGTAAAGTTATTTTTTCTCCACATGTGATGCACCCAAGTAATAGTAACAAATTGTGGTGCCTTAACTTATAGAAGGCTTTAGTTCACTCTAGCAATTTACTATACTTGCTGGTGGTCAAAATCAGCCAGATAGAATTTTCCTTAAACATTCTTTTTGCTTTTAAGAAATGTTTCTAGAAATCATAATTGAGCATACATAGAAGGAAGATAATTTAGAAAATGGTTAAAATTAAGAAATTAATGGGAAAACTGTCAAATAGGTCCTCGAACTTTCATAAAAAGGTCAATTAAGTCCTTCTATAGGATGTTTTGTCCGGCCGTCGCGATTTGGGGCAGTTCCCGGTGGAATTTTTTGATGAAATTTTTTGAGCATCTTATTCACCAAGTCTAGTTTACTCATACCAAATTTCAGCTAACAATTCAATCGGGAACACATTCAAATTAATTCTTGAAGATAACTACGCATTTTTGCGTTCTCGAATTAATTTGAATGCGCTCTCGATTAATTTTTTAGCTGAAATTTGGTATGAGTAAACTAGACTTGATGAATAAGATGCTCAAAAAATTTCATCAAAAAATTCCACCGGGAACCGCCCCAAATCGCGACGACCGGACAGAGTCTCCAATAGAAGGACTTCATTGACTTTTTTATGAAAGTTCGAGGACCTATTTGACAGTTTTCCCGAAATTAATTTGATGTCGAGTTAATGCACCCAATAATATACTGTTCATGTTAACATACAAGTTCTTGGTATCCTGTATTACCATAACATAAAGTGTAATTCTTCAACAACAATGATGTGTTATTTGTTGTTAAAAAATCACGTTTGAATGGGTTGATGTAAGGAAAGTATTTGTATTTGATGTAGGAACTAGTTTTGCTTGGCAATCTCTCGGCGCCAACTTGGTGTTTGCCGTGCTTCCATCCAGTAGGGTAATAAGTGTGCTGTTAAAATTCAACTAATTCTTTTGGAAAAATGTTCTAGTGCTTTACACACCATCAAGAATTGGGGGTCAACCTGTTGCACTTTCTTTGGATAGAGATGAAAGGCCTTATGATAGTGATTTTTCTTTATTTTCTTACCTACATCTGGTTATTTTCCCTCTGTTCCTAAATAAAACATTAAAACCCAATTTGACATTGCACGAAGTTTTATTATTATTTTATTATTATAGTGCACATTTCAGAAATAGAGCACAGTGGTTAAGAAACTAAAAAAGGTAGGGTTGATGTTTATTTAGAGAAGAGAGAAGTAATACGAACTACGTATTGGTTTCCTTACAAGGAAATGGGTGATAATTCCGGGACGTACTAAAAAAGAAAGTATGAAGATTATTTAGGGACAGAAGGAATACTTGTTCAATTTAATTAAAGGCCTATCTTATCTCTACATTTCTCCTTGATAATCCCCTTGCCCCTTGGTGCATGTGACTCTGAGGAATGCCTTTTTTACTTGGGGAAATTACGTAGTAGCTACCTGACAAAACCTGTAAACACAAAACCTTCAATTTTTTATACAAATAAGGCCATGTAACCTTTAGCTGTATCAGAATAATATCCTTATCTCCTTATGTGTAAGATTTTTTCCTTGGATGTTTAATTTCATCTTTAAAGATGTCCTTCAAAGTTCAAACAATACTTTCAGAATAAGTTATATGTAATTTACTACTTTACTCATTTTTTATGGTTACTACTTTACTCATTGGAAATAAATAAAAAGGAAACTTCATTTCACCTTCTCAAAAATAAATGATTAAGAAAGGTAAGAGTCGTGGACTTTACCTCTTTTTACCCCAGTTTCTTCATCGTTTCCTTCTGAACTTATAGCAGTCACATTTTTTTTCTTTCTTGAATAAGTAAATATCATTACTCGTTAAATTATCTATTTTTCTAGTTTGTTGTTGCTTATAAGATGAAATATCCTTGATATTGCAGAAAACGCTGGCAGCGTCTATGTCTGAATATAAAGGAATAGTCCCTGTTATTATCACCTTCATTGACAGATTACTGGCATGCCATAAGCACCAATTGTTAGGTGAACGCCTACTCGAGACGTTTGATAAACATTTACTTCCTAAACTTAGACTGGACTACAATTTGGGATCTTACTTCCCGGTGCTGGAAAAAATTTCCCAGAGTAGTAATGTATCACCAAGAGGATTGCTAGAGCTCCTTACAAAGTATATAGCAGTTCTTGTTGACAAACATGGTCCAGATACAGGGTTGAGATCTTGGTGTCATGGGAGTAAAGTTCTTGGGATTTGCAGAACAATGGTTATGCATCACCAAAGCTCTAAATTATTCCTTGGCCTAACCCGTCTTTTAGCTTTCACTTGCCTTTATTTTCCAGATTTGGAGGTCCGTGACAATGCAAGGTACTTCTTTAAGAAGATCCTTTTCTTTCCCTATTTCCTTCCTCTTTTCGCTTAGGGTCCAGTCTCCTAAATTTTATTTCATATATGCATATTGAATAAAGACTGAGAAATATAAATATATGCAAATCTTTTAAAACTTTTAATCAGATTTTATTTTCCTAGGTAAACCCAATACAAAAAGAAAGCATTTTCATTATTGGTGCTACCCCCCTCCTCTCCTTACAATTTTTCAAGTTCCAAGCATAGCCTTATACTTTTTATTTCAACACCTCACCTATCTGTAAGAGTTAGAGTTATGGTTGATAAAAGTGACTAAAGGGGTAGATGCTCATGTCCCAATTCCATATAACAGGATATGATTCACTAATTCATTGTTTGGTACTTGCACAGAATCTACCTGCGGATGCTGATTTGTATACCAGGGAAGAAACTCAGAGATATATTGAACAGTGGGGACCATCTCCCTGGTGTATCCCCCTCTACCCACACTACATCTTTTACTGTCCAGTCTCCTAAATTTCCCCGCGACCTCAAGAAATCAAGGAACATATCATCATATATCCACTTGAAGCGCATGGTTCCTCTGTTGGTTAAACAATCTTGGTCTTTGTCACTCCCACCCATCCTGGGCTTTGACAGCAAGAAACCCTCTTATTTAGTAGAACCAATAAGTGAGCCAAGATGGGAAGTAGATATAAATAATACTAATCATCACACAGTCTCTGAAAAGACCTACAGAGCAAATGATCAGCAGCGAGAGCCTTTACGTGTCTTGGACTCCAAAATTTCTCAGATAGTTGAGATATTGAGGAGACACTTTTCATCTATTCCTGATTTTAGATACATGCCGGGTCTCAAGATTAAAATACATTGCTCGTTATGGTTTGAGTCAGAACCGTTTAATCGCGTATGGAATGCCAATACTACGAATGGATCGGATCAACTTCCTCCTGCTATATATGCAACTGTTTTAAGTTTTTCTTCTTCTTCCCCATATGGATCGATCCTGTCACACCATGTTCCTTTCCTTCTTGGTCAAACCTATTCCGCCAATAAAAGTTATTCATTAGATATAGTTCCAGCAGTAGAGGTGCAAGAAGAAGGATTCTTCAATGCTCCTGTAGTGATTGAATTGGAACCCCGGGACCCAGTGCCCGGGCTTGTTGACGTGTTCATTGAAGCAAACACGGTCAATGGTCAGATCATCAAAGGGCAGCTTCGTAATATCATGGTGGGAATAGAGGACATGTTTCTCAAAGCCATCCTTCCTGATGACATAAGCGGAGATGTAGTGCCTACTTACTATGTTGAATTATACAACGCTTTGTGGGAAGCGTGTGGAACCCCAACCTGTACCGGGCGGGAGATGTTTTTGTTGAGAGGAGGCAAAGGAGTTGCTGTAGTCAGCGGGACCCAATCAGTAAAGCTTCTGGAAGTTCCAGCTGGATCTGTCATCCGAGCCGTTGAGCGTTGTTTGGCGCCCTTTGTTGTTTCTATAAGAGGCGAACCTCTTATTAACGTCGTGAAGGGTGGGGAAGTCATTTGGAACATTGTCTGGGAGGATAATATCACATCGGGTTCATTGAGTGATGATGTGTCAACACGAGAAATGAGGATTGATGGTGGGCCCCTTTACCTCAAGTATGTGGATGAGGAGGATGAAGATGGAGGAGGTAGTGTGATTCATCAAGTCACTAGTACCAGGAACATGGGATGCTTTCAAATTCTTGTATTCCTTCCACCAAGATTTCATCTTCTGTTTCAAATGGAGGTTTGTGATACTTCAACACTTGTCCGGATTAGAACGGATCACTGGCCATGCCTTGCTTACATTGATGACTATTTGGAAGCTATCTTTTGTGAATAATATATACTGCCTTGCCTTTCTATATTTTTTTTTGTTTTACTAAAATCTTTTTGTCCTTTATCTTTTTGCCTTTCTATATATGATACTAGTATGTGTACCCGTGCACTGCACGACAAAATATGTACTTAGAGTTTTTATTAAAATTGTAGAGGAAATGAATTTTATATGATTTCGTTAATCAGAGTTTAAAAGAAAATTCGGTCGACTATGGATAGAGTTGTTATTTTTTAACTCGGTGAACTCACCGGTTTCGTGGGTCAACTTGCATGGGTTGCAAGTAGTCATGGACCCGGTTCGGGCCGCCCGGCCCGCTACTATGCGGGCACGGAACCGGCTCGGTTCTCGGTTCTCGGGTCCGGTTTAGGCACCGAACCGGTGGGGGTGGCGGTTCCGGGCTCGGGGCTAGTTTTTGGCGGCCCGGCCGGGTCGGGCCCGGGTCTGGGCCTAACGGTCACATTTTAAAAAAAAAATCATTTCTTTTTAAAACCCCTTTTGGGCTGTTGACCCACTTCCCAAACGGCTATATAGCCGTTGGGTGGGTACCTGGGGGGTCCGGGGCTTTTGGGGGGTGGGGGGGGGGTGGGGGTTAAAAAAAACCTATAAATACTCCTAATTTTAAACATTTTTTCACACCTCTTCTCCAACTCTTCCTAAATCCTACTCTCTATTCATCTCCATATTCATCTTCTCAAATTCTCTTATTCTCCATTATATTTTATTTTACTATTTAATACTTATACAATTATTATATCTACTTATATATTAATTATCTACTTATAAATACATATACTATATTACTTATATTTCTTATCTACTTAATCTCTACTTATTATCTATTTATATCTACTTAATACATACATACATACTACATCTACTTAATATATACTAGTACTTTATATATTAAAGTATTAAATATACTTTATAAACTATTAGTATATACTTAATACATAATAATATCTACTTCTCTACTTATATTTCATATATACTTATTTTCTTATTCTCCAATCTCCAATTCTCCATTATACTCTAATATTTAATTCTTATACAATTATTATATCTACTTATATATTAATTATCTACTTATATCCACTTAATACATACATTCTACATCTACTTAATATATAGTTTATATATTAAAGTATAAAATATAAGTGTATTACTCATCTTATAGTAGTATACTTATATATTATATACTATAAACATTATATTATATATTAGTTACACTTTAATTAATATCACTTAAAATCATTCTATTACTCATTTACTCCCATTAATTACTATACACATTCATACATTTGTCTTATTACTTACATTTTTATTAACATTACTTGATTAGTTATTTAGTATTCCCACTAATTGTTACATTTTTCATTATACTAGTTAATTAGTTAATTAGTATTCTTGTTACATTTTTCATTATACTAGTTAATTAGTATTCTTGTTACATTTTTCATTATACTAGTTAATTAGTTAATTAGTATTCCCATTAATTGCTAAAACAACTCTACTTCAAAAAACTAGTTAATTGTCATTATAGTTAAAGTCACATTATAATAGTTTCAATTTATATTTGAACGAAGAAAATAGTAGTTCAATCATTTAATTAAAGTACTTAACATTTTATTTAAGTAGTTTTCACTAAATTAAAGTACTTGAAAAGTTGCTATAATTTAATTACTCACATTTTAGTTAAAGTCACACTTGTTAGTTTTAAGTATTTATTAAAAAATACTATTGAAACGGGTTCGAATTTTAATTTTAATTTTAGAGTCACACTTTAATTCTAGTTTGCACTAAATTAGTTTGAAGTATTAATTAAAATAGTTTTAATTAGTTGCATTACTTTTGTATTCATTATTATATTTGTTGCAAATTAATATTTGTTATATTTTTAAGATGGAAGGTGGTAGATATTCGGTTGATTTGGGTAACCTCGAGCGCAATCGAAGGAACGAGATTGGGAGGAAGAAATCCCGCAAAGGTAAAGAACTTGCCGGCTCTTCCTCTCAAAGCCGACATGATTTTGAAACGGGTTACCAAAGGAGAGATGGAGATGCGATGTCCGAAGAACAACTACAACAAGAATTGGCCCGACATAATAACCGCTTTCTACAACAACAACAAATCCCGACGACCATTGACGAAGAGGAGCTTGAGGATGAAGATGCGGAGGAAATGGAACCGGAGACGGTCGAGGAGGAGGGTGCTGGCAGTCACGACGCCGACGAGTCTGCCTCATCCCAAACGCCACCGGTAATAAAAAAGTAAATCTGAACTAATGAAAAATAATTTTGATAAGTGGAAGGACACACAAACCGGCTATTGGCACGCTACTTGCAAGTGGTGCAACAACAATTATAGCTTGGGGACCTCCAGCGGATACAGATCCGCCGCAAGGCATCTTAAGGCAAAGCACCCCGTGGAGTATGCAAAATTAGGCGGCGGAACGGGGAAACAAACTCAAATATCGAGGTTTGCGAATTCTCAACCTTTTGGTAATTTCTCATACAATGATGCACAAAATTTGACTGGTATGACTAACTTAATTTGTGAAGAAAATTTGCCTTATATGTTTTCTGAAAGTCTTGCTTTAAGAGATTATGCACAAGGTAGTTTAAATCCTCAATTTAGAAGTTATAGTCGCAAATCTGTTAAGAAAGAAATTATAAGGCTTTATAAAGCGGAAAAGGCAAGGTTACAAAATTTTTTTGCAAACTTTGATGGGCGTGTTACTATTTGTTCTGACATATGGGAGGATGATTTTCATCATTTATATTATTTGGATCTGACTGCACATTATATTGATGAGGATTGGAATATGCATAAACGTGTTCTTGCTTTTCGTGAATTTAATGATCGTCACACCGTTGAACATATTTATATTTTAATTGAGCGTATTTTAATTGAGTATAATTCTATTGATAAAGTGTTTGTTATTGGTTTCGATAATGCTACTAATAATACTGCTGCTATACCTAGATTGCATGAATTGTGTGATGTCAATACTTTGATGGGTAGATTTTTTCATCAACGCTGTGCATGCCATGTTATAACTAAAACAATCTAAACTAAAACAACTTACATTACTGAACAAAGCGCATTGAATGAGATTACTTTGAATTTAACATATGAAGTTGATTTTGATAAAAATGATGACTTTGACGTTCTAAACTGGTGAAAGTGATGGTCTCTGATAGAGGTAAAAGTCTAGAGGGGGGTGAATAGACTTTTAAAGCTTTTTCGGTTTTAAGAACTCTTCCCCTCTAGATGAGTTGATCTATGATCTTTTGGGAGATTAATAGATGCACAGCGGAAGTCTTTAACCTCTTGACTATTAGTATGAGACAACTTTCTAGTTTGAGTGATGTTAGGACTGTTTATGGATAGGCAGTAGGCTTGGCAGTTGGCTGGTGGGCAGGCTACTGCTGAGACAACTGCTGGGTTGGCAGTTGGCTGAAAGACAGAAGACTGCTAAGGCAACTTCTGATAAACAGGATGACTTATGGAATATTTTCAACAGGCTTTTAGTTATGGCTATTGTAATCGTTCAAAGGAAGTAAATATGTATGAGCAGTGGGTTCAGCAGGTGGGTGAAAATCAGAGTGCTGCTGAGACACCTTCTAAGCTTTGAGAGATTCTTGTGGAAAGACTGTCTCAAGGAGAGTGAGTAATTAAGCAGTAGGATAAGCAGTAGGGTCAGTTAAGACTACTGCTTAGGATGCTGCTGGCAAACTACAATCCTTTTGTGAGAAGTGATGGGTGTGTGCTTTGTTGAGTTAAGAAGAATCAACACACGATGTATCATGGTTCAGAGGTGGTGTAATCCTCCTACATCCAGTCCCACCCTATTTCAGATGGATTTCCACTAAAGTATTAAGCCCAATACACTTAGTGCCAATCTAGCCTTTACAACACTCAGGCCTAGATTGAAGGTTTTTCACGATGAGTATAACATCACTCAAAGTTACTCAGTCCTTAGACTTTTCTCAAATGATCCAGTGGGGATCAAGAGGTACTCTATCTATCTAACCACACTTTAGGATCCGAACAACTGTTCTCCTAAGTGTTTACAACCACTTGTAAAATACAAGGAATTTCTGGCCACCAACTAAAATCTAAGCTTTAAAAATATAACAATGTATGATCTAGTCTAAGAGCTTAGTGAAGCATGAGTCAAAGCAAAGAGTGAAGTTGTGATCAAGCACTTTCTCCTTTGCTAGATATACTTTGTGATTATAGAATCTCTTTGCTTTGAACTCAATGACTTAGTTTTTGAACTCATGCCTCTGCCTTTATTTATAGGCATCTCCGGTAGGTTAAGTTCATCCGTTGGTTGAGATGATTTAATCCTGTTCGTTGAATCTTGGTTTCAGAAGATAACAACTTGTTACTTGTCTTCTTCTTTGGAGCTGGTTGATGATCAACTTGTACGTAGGATATGTTGGCCCATACCCTAGGTTTTATCTTCGCTGTTCACCTAGTCATTAGGTATTTGACATTATCTTGCAACTACACTCGTGTAGTAAAGTGTGTGAACCAGCTATATTTGTGTAGTAAAAAATGTGACTCAGGTTATTTTGTACCAAGCAAATTTTGTACTGGTAGGATCTTTAAAATATCCCATAAAGGTAAAATGAAAATTACCTTATTGCATTTTGTTCTTTCCAGTACAACTTAATTGGTACAAAATATTACATTATTAATTTGTCACATATTTTACTAGTTGATCTTTTGACGTGACATGATTAATCTATGTATCAGATAAAATTATACTGGTTGGATTTAAATATCCATGTAAGGTAAAGACAATTTTACCTTATTGCATTTTATTCTTTCCAGTATGTTTTATTTGGTACATAGCTTTTACATTGGTGTTTTTATCACTTTTAGGTTGTGCAACTAGCTAGCTTAACTGGTAGGATAACAGATCCTATTAAGGTAAAAATTATTACCTTATTGCATTTTGTATTCTAGTTTAAGTAATTAGTTGTACGAATTATTCTAATTTAAGTAATTAGTTTAGGTACTCTATCTATCTAACCACACTTTAGGATCCGAACAACTGTTCTCCTAAGTGTTTACAACCACTTGTAAAATACAATGAATTTCTGGCCACCAACTAAAATCTAAGCTCTAAAAATATAGCAATGTATGATCTAGTCTAAGAGCTTAGTGAAGCATGAGTCAAAGCAGAGAGTGAAGTTGTGATCAAGCACTTTCTCCTTTGCTAGATATACTTTGTGATTATAGAATCTCTTTGATTTGAACTCGATGACTTGGTTTTTGAACTCATGCCTCTGCCTTTATTTATAGGCATCTCCGGTAGATTAAGTTCATCCGTTGGTTGAGATGATTGAATCTTGTTCGTTGAATCTTGGTTTCAGAAGATAACAACTTGTTACTTGTCTTCTTCATTGGAGCTCGTTGATGATCAACTTGTACGTAGGATATGTTTGGCCCATACCCTAGGTTTTATCTTCGTTGTTCACCTAGTCATTAGGTCTTTGGCATTGTCTTGCAACTACACTCGTAAAGTGTGTGAACCAGCTAAATTTGTGTAGTAAAAAATGTGACTCAGGTTATTTTGTACCAAACAAATTTTGTACTGGTAGGATCTTTAAAATATCCCATAAAGGTAAAATGAAAATTACCTTATTGCATTTTGTTCTTTCCAGTACAACTTTAATTGGTACAAAATATTACATTATTAATTTGTCACATTTTTTACTAGTTGATCTTTTGACGTGACATGATTAATCTATGTATCAAATAAAATTATACTGGTTGGATTTAAATATCCATGTAAGGTAAAGATAATTTTACCTTATTGCATTTTATTCTTTCCAGTATGTTTTATTTGGGACATAGTTTTTACACTGGTGTTTTTGTCACTTTTAGGTTTGTACAACTAGCTAACTTAACTGGTAGGATTACAGATCCTATTAAGGTAAAAATTATTACCTTATTGCTTTTTGTATTCCAGTTTAAGTAATTAGTTGTATGAATTATTTTTGTGTTCATTTGTTGTAACAAATAAATTTAACTGGTAGGATCTATATGAAATCCTTTTAAGATAATAAAATATTGCCTCATTGTATTTTATGTTTTCCAGTTATATTTATTTGTTAATTGTTAATTTGAACACGACACTTTCAGATAATTTAATTTGTACCGCCATATAATACTTTGAAGGCTACCAAAGATGGGGGATATCAAAACTATGGCATCATCAAAACTATTTATCAAAATCTAGGGTTTAACAGAAAGTCAAAAGAAAGAACGTTCCCGATTTTAGCACGGATGGTTAATTAAGCAAGTACTATCAATGCCGGTTTCAACAGTTGCTGTGGAACAAGAATTTAGTTCGGCCGGCAACATCCTAACGGCATCTAGATCGAGATTGAGCGCGGAGTCTCTTGAGACGCTTATATGCTACCACGATTGGTTGAAGGCCGCACGTAGAACTCAACAAATGAGCATCACCCCCTCACAAGAATTTATGGATGACTCAACAACCGATGGTGGCTCTACCTATGCCGGAGATTCCGATTGATTAGTATTTTAGAAATTATTATAAAATGCATTTTGTAGCACTTCTAAAATCAATTTGTCTTTGTACTTCAAATTTCAAAATTGTAAACTTGTACTTCATGTCTTCATATTTCAAAGTTGTAAATTTGTACTTGTACTTCAAATTAATTTGTAAACTTGTACTTCATATTTCAAATAAATATGCGTTCATTTTTTCATATGTAGCACTTCTCAAATTAATTAATTGGTTACAAACTTACAACTTAAAATTATTTTTCTAAAATCTAAAGGCTGTTTTTAAATTAAAAATACATTCACAATATGTAATTTAATTTGTTTAAATACTTATACACCTATTTTGTAACATTTGTATATTATAAATCAAACCACTTTTCTAAGTAAAAATAGCTTTACTTAATTCATTAAATTAATTAACTTATTTTACAATATGTATAATTTCCAAAAAAAGATTTAAAAAATTTAAAAAAACATCTCCCAAACGGCTATATAGCCGTTGGGGTTTGGGTGGGGGGCAGGGGGGTCCCGGTGGTGATGGTGTGGGGAGTGGGGTTCAAAAACATCTATAAATACATCTATTTTCTAACATTTTTCTACACCTCTTCTCCAACTCTTCTCCAACTCTTCCCCATCTTCATCTTCTCTTATTGTCCTACATTCCTACTTATACATATACCATTTTAAAGATGGAAAGTACATCTTCCCTTATGCAAAACAATTTTGATAAGTGGAAGGACCCGAAGACCGGACTGTGGTGGACAACTTGCAAGTGGTGCAAGAAAGAGTGTAGCTTGGGGCGTTCACACGAATATGGGATGCCAATAAAACATATGAAGTTCTGTAACAAAGGGAAAACAACAACCAACGGTGGCGGTGGAAATCTCAATTGATATTTATTAGAAAATGTATTTCATATTGTTATTTTTTTCTCAATTCTCAAATGTAGTTCCTATTTCAAATAAATGCACTTGAACTTTGTTTTTAATAAGAATTTGTATAATCTATAATAATTAAAAAAAAAATATGACCCGGCCCGGCCCGGCCGGTGGCCTGACCCGTGACCCGGCCCGAACCGGCACCGGCCATAGCCCGGGCCGGTCCCGGGCCGACCTCTACCAGACCCGAGGCCCGACCAGGCCTTGGCCCGGCCCGGGTCCATCACTAGTTGTAGGTTAAGTGGGTTGATCCATGCATGTGGTGAGTTGCCCGAAATATAAACATCTATTTTTTTTACTTCCATTGTCTTCAATATTGATGGTTCATTACCAAAATGATTTTCAAATATATTTATTATTGTACAGCCTTTGTTGAACTATTACTTCTATAGTAATTATTCAAATAAATAGGTTTTTTTTTGAAAGCAAGAAAAAAAAAGTTGTGGACACAAATATTACTTAGTAACTATTAGTGGCTATAATTGTATTCAAAGTTTACATTGCAATAACTTACGTGTAATTATTAAAATGTAAATTTGAACACAAGTATATTCGTTGATAGTTACTAAGTAATGTTTTTGCCCACTACATTTTAAATAGTACTCCGTAGAATTAATGAATTTCTCTAGCATATTATTTATGTTATAGTTGATTTTTTTTACTATGAATAATCATTGTTTACAAATATTTACTCAAAATATACAATTGTATCTTTGTTTTTGTACAATGAGTGCTTTTGTTAGATAATCAAAATTTAGTATAACCAATGTTGTTGGTTCTGAAGGTTGCCCAACAAATGAGAAAAGAGTGTCTAATAAGTGATGTAAAGCCACATTAAGTCTGAAATATGTTGGATTTGATGAGTATTCAGTTTTTGCATTTGATGAGCGTCACAATTATCCCATGTCCTATAAAGTATCCAAACAATTTCTAAAGGTAAACAGAAATTTAGATCTTTGACATCAGAAGTTTGTTTTAAATTGTTTTAGAGCGACTATTGGCACAATGAAGTCATATCGGCTATATAAGGAGATTGTGGAGGATATCTTAAAATCTTATAATAGTCAATGAGAGTTAGGGCATTTATGGGATGAAAAAAATGTTGGTGTAATCATTTAGCTTAAAAGGGTGGTACATGATGCTTTACCATGTGTACTGTATTTAAAGGAAGTAAACCTACCGGCTACCGTTTTATTTCCGTCAGTTTCCCATCTGTTTCATCTCCCCATCCCCGCATCTCAGTCTCACCACCGGCTTCAAACCGTACGTCCATTTTATTCTTTCTATCACCAGGTGCTCCCAACGGTGTCCTAACCTCACCAAGCTCCCAAGGAAATAGCGTTTGACTAGAAATCTATACATGGCTCGTGAAATGATCAAGATCGGGTTATTGAGTGTCACATCTGGTGTGAACCTTGTTTCCATTAAAAGAGCCTAGGAGAGGTGTTAAATTAACAGAGCTGAGATCTCTAATATTTCCTTTTCTCCTACTGTCCAGTGGATAGGTGTTTCAACTTTCAAGTGACAAAAGAATAGTTCATGTTTCCAATCTTAAGGTTGAATCTAGATTTCTGATAGTTGAGAGATGTCACAACTCCCGTAGCTACTTCACAGCTATCCTTCGTCAAAGGTTTATTCTTTCTAAAAGCTACTACGAATTAGTCTATTACAAAGATGCTATTTTGATTAAGGTTGATTATTTTGGCCACAAGATTTTCTGCATATTTCTCTATCAAGTTACACCCGTTAATTTATACTACGTACATAGTAAGAGTTAATTTATCTCAAGATTATTTTTATATGGAGATTTTACTTTAGCTCAAACAATTTGTAGATGATAGCTCAATAGATAGGAATTGATTTAACTCGAGCGGGGCATTTGTCCATGTATTTTACCCACACTATGTAGTCTTCTATTACAAAAACTAATGTCTACACACAAACTCAAATCAATCTCTCAAATTGGATACTATCTAACCCATTTGATAACATTTTCTAAAGTAAACCAACTTTCCCGTTATCTCTTAAATCTGAATTGCTACCCTACATTATGCATTTTATCTTGTATTTTAGTCTACTAGAACAAACTATTTCACCTTAAATGTTTGGGAGTAGATGTGTTCATTTTAATTATTAATCACAATTTTATCTTGCTTAGCTTGTTCATTATACTTCTAATAAAAAATAATAACTTCGAATATGAGTTTTTCCAACCACTTGAAGTGAAACTATATTCCACTAAATTCCCACCCTTAAGTTTGTCATTGTAGCACACTAATTGATCTTGTATCAAAAAATCAAATGTCTACACATAAAATGAACATTGGGCACTATCCCTTCGCGCATCGCGCGTATACATAACTAGTTCTAATATAGGGGCTACGGCCTCTACACTAAGGCACAACAACCATAAAAAACAAAGTATTATAGAAGTCTAGGCTTCGTCACCATTACATCCTCCGTTGCCCTGGGCATCGCCATCGCCACCTTCTTTGTCCTCGGAACCCTCTTGGTCAGCGGCCCTAGAAGCAGCTGTATCCTCTAGCATCTCGTCATCACTCCACGGCTCCCCGTCGATACCACAGTTGGCAATAGGAAGCTGCCTTTGCTCTGGTGGCAACTCTAGCTCGGCCTTTCGGTGATTCATCTTCCACGGAAGATTCAAGTCGACGAGTTTCATGTTGTGGAACCGACGGTGAAGCCTCCTATAAATAAGCTTTTGGATGCGATACTGGGCGGGGTCATAAAAGACCTTCATCTCCCTCTACAAGAACTCCTGGGGAGGGGCTATTCTTCGTCCAGTCCTCAAACCCGGTGGCAACTACCTCATAGCACCAGGAATGCCTCTCTTCAACCTTCCACCCTTTGGCCATGAACTTCACAACAATCTCATCAATGGCCTCCTCAGCTACAGCTTTAACTCTTTCAGCCTCATGAGCACGAATCACAGAGGCACCACGGGCCTGCCCCGCCTCGGTTTGGGCCTTCAGTGAAGCATCCAACTTCAACTGAAGTTCATTCTTCCCTTCTCGGCTTCATCGGCCTTCTTCTTCTTCTTCAGGTTATCAAACTCAACGCGCAGCCAATCCAGATTCTTTAGGGCTTCATTGGCTGAAGTGGCCTTCTCTTCAATCTGCCTCAGCCGAGCAATCTCTTCCTCATGTCTCTTCTGGTGTTCCATCAGCAGAAAGACACCCTCGACGAATCACACATGGCGTTAGAAGGAAAAACAGAAGTGAAAAGAAAAATGGCTAAGTACAAAAAAGTGTTACTAACAGTGACAATGTTGTCCATCGCTTTGTCGTACAGCCAAGCTCCCTTCAGTCGGGCCAGGTGTGAGCGATCTTCATCAGGAATGGCTTGGGAGACAACCTCATGGCCGCTCACGATCTCATTAAAGATGCCACCCTTCGGCGGGTAGCAACCAACAACTTCATACAACCCCTTGACCACCTCTCGGTTGAAGCCAACATTGGTGGAGGGAGCCTCAACATTAAGAAGAAGAGGCTGAACAAGGGCAGCCGATGATGGACCAACAGTCAAATCCTCAATCATGACCGCATCGGCCCCATGGTCTCCATCATCTGCCTCATGGACAACATCGGCCACAAAAGAGCCCTTCTCGGCCAGGGTCTTCTGACCCTCATCAGCTTCAGACCTCTTCTTCTTCTTCTTAGAAGGAGGAGGCTTTTTGGCAGGATCAGACTTTGCTTTGCCACCATCGGCCTAAGGCTGCTACGACCCTTCTGACCCTTTGGCGGCTTTCAGCTCCCATCTTCTTAGCGGCCTGAATCATGAAGAGCATACGACTCATCTCGAACTCTGCAAAAGGCAAACAGTTAGTCAAAATAATAACAAACAGACAAGATGATTGGGCAAGACGAGGAACAATCTTTCGCCACTGCAGTAACCCCCTCACAGGGTCCATCGGCCTCCTCAAAATAACACTCCATCCTCGGTCAGAACCCATCATCCACTTCTCCGGGGATATAGTACCTTACAAAGCCGATGTTTGCCATCTTGTACTCAGTAATGTACTCTTTGATGCTCCTCGGCCCACCCTATAAAAATTCCCTAACTTGGATATCAATCGTAGCATTCTT